TATACTGAGCTGAGCAAATACTCTCTTAGCCATAGCTGGTTCCTGCTACTTGAATAGGAGCTCTGGGGATATAAAAGGACCCCAAATTGTGAACTGACTCAATCTGGTAGAGTGCTGTCTCATACAGAGTTAATGATGTTTTAACTCTTCGGAAGCAGACAGACTTCAAACACAAACATGTTTTCCCCTTGTAAATAATCTTCCTCACAATTATTTCTCTAAGATCATTGCTGATGTCTTTACTTTTTGGCATTGTGTTAACACACACCTCAGTATTGGAAATGACATGGTGTAATATGTCATGAGTTGTTATTCATTTGAAGTTGTAGCTATCTACTTTTAAGAATTGCTAAGGACCAGATGATTTTTTTATTATGTCCTGATACATAAAATCATAAAACTCAAACTTACTTTTTCACATAACTGTAAATTATTTTGCATGAGATATAGGCCACAACATGCATGTTTGACCTTTATTCTCGCTTGTCAGCCAGAAAGCCCAACAGTTAAGGGGTGAGTGGGTAATTAAGTGTGGAATGAATTCCATTTGCTTAAATGAAGCAGTTAAAATATTTTTAATTTTAAAAAATTCTCCCTGGATCCAGGTGAACTCTGTCAGTCTCAAATAGTTGAGACTGGAGAACTGGATAGAAATGGTCAACTAAAGTTGCCTCCAAAAAAAAGGAGAATCAACAACTGCAAAAAAGAGCTGTTGAGTAGACCAACTCTTTAGAACCTCCTCAAACAAGGAGAGGACAGAAGACTGCTCACATGTATTCTAAAGAGTTGCTCCTTGTGAAGAACAGTCTCTGGGATGTTTTGAATACTGAAGACAACAGGAATAGCCATCTTGCTCACAACCGCAATCAGCACCTTTCAAAGGACACTACCGTGTTTTCCCAAAAATAAGACCCTGTCTTATTTTCTTTTGATCCCCCAAAAAATGACTAGTGCTCCTTTATGAGGGTGTCTTAATTTTTTTGAGATGCAGGAGGCAGCAAGTGCAGTCACCTCATGGCTGCTCGGCCCCTTAATCAGCTGAGCCTGCGAGGGCCGGGAGCTCCACACACACCCCCGCCTGTGCAAGACTCCACGCCATGCACAGGTGCACATCCAAACTACTCACTCCGTGGCTTTGAAGCCTCCAGCCTTGCAATCCTGCATAGGGAAGGCGGAGGTTTGCTCCAAAACTGCGGCAGAGCATTGCACTGGGAAGCCTCCATGGGTAAGATTGAGTTGTGTCTCTTGCTCCAGCAAGAGGGGTGCAGGCCAGAGGCTTGGCAGCCAGGAAAGGTGGGGTTTTGGGGTGCAAAGGAAGAAGGGGTGATCTCCCCCTCCCTCCTCTATCCTGTGCAGAGAGACAGAACTTCTGGCCCTCGCTGGCTCTGCTGATCTGCGGGCTGCAATTAAGGTGCCGAGCAGCCATGGCCATGAGAAGGGAAGGGCTGTCTCCTGTGCTGGCCACGCCCACCCCCTTCACTAGGGCTTCTTTTTGGGGTAGGGCTTATATTAGGCCCACCCCAAAAATCAGGCTTATTTTTGGGGTAGGTTGTATTTTGGAGGAAACACAGTACTTATGCTAATTTCATTTTCTAATGACATTTGGGAATTGTTTATTAATTATTTTTAAGTCATTAAAGACCTTTTGATTGACAAGTCTGAAAACGCTACGTTTCCTTCATGAAAGAGAATTTTAATCAATTTAAAGGTTACTTTTTCGTATATTTGTACCTGTACTAAAGAAAGTTGAAAGTTATTTTTTGTATATTTTTCTTTTTTCTCTCTTGTCACTTTTTAACTTTTTCTTTATTATTTGTTAATTTGTATTTTATCTTTCTTTGAAACTTAATAAAGTTGGTTTAAAAAAATAATTTTAAAAATTTAAAAAGCTTGAAACAGCAAAAAGAGGAGTAAGACTTTGATCATAGATAGCCATAAACTTTGAAATCTAGATTAAGGACCCAGATAACTTTGAAATAAAATTTTGTAATTAATTATACAGAACCCTTCCCATTGGAAATAAATTTGTTTCGGCTTTTACAAGAGAAACATAAGCAATTTCTAACACTGGACACTAAAGAGAATTAAAGTTTGTAGTTAATGGAGAAAAATACACAGTTAACAACTAATTAGCTGGGACCTATAAAATGGCCTAAGACATTTTAAATATTGAAGGAAACTTTTGAAAAAATGGAATCAGAAGTTAGTGTCCACAATGCCAATAGTGATGTTTGCCTATATGGACAGACTGCATCTAATAGAGGTTTTGGAAGAAATGGCAGATAAGGAACAATTTTATTAAACAAGGCAGAGATGGCATTGAAAATGAATCTACAAAAGACAGGTTACAAGGAGGACATGGAAAAAAAAATCACACGGGACATACAAATCATAAATGGACTTTCTGCTGACACCAGGCCTGAAAAAATGATGTTTTATGGATTGTCTATAGATAAGATATGGGATAAAAAGATCATTGGTTGTAAATTAACTAAAAGTGGCTAAAGAGTTATAAAAATGTTTATACTTGATGTGATGAAGGTTGGAAGTAAGTTCTTTATATTTCTTTCTTTTCTTTCTTCTCTTGTAATTAAAATCCTTAATAAAAATTACACACACGCATGTGCACGCATGCACGCGCACACACAAACAAAATCAAATAATCTGTTCCTGAAAATAGTGACAGAAAAAAATGGGTAGACTCACAGCTGCAGGTGCATTTCAAACTAATTTCAATTAGAATTTCCTTTAAGATATGGTGTCAGCCTCCGCCTTTATTGCTTTGGCTGCCATAAGAAACGGGTGGGAGAGAATTAGAGAGCGTGGGGGGGGGGCAAGCGTCTGGAGGATTTTTGAAGAAACGAAACCTAATCTCCGAAGTGGCTATCGGGTCAACCGTCATCGCATTCCTGATTGATGACGATGCCAGACGTGCTTCCACCTGACCTCTGGGAGACCTTTGGATTGGGTGATTGATGATGGACAGTGGGAGGGGATGCTTTCTATATGCAACTTTCGCGCCTATTGCTTTAGTTTCAGCTTTTCCTTGGTAGCGTTCATTTCATTTTCCAGTAAAAGTACATTACTCTATAAATAATGGAGTTTGGCTCATTCTTTCCTGGACTTTGAACGAAGCACACCTGACATTTGGCATTGAGACTGCTTTGGCTGTCCTGGTGGATGATCTATGTCAGAAACTACATTGAAGGAGAGGAATGGAATACTATTTATTTTTCTGGATTTCAAAACTCAACCGCACGCCACTTATTGTTACTATAGGGTGTTTTGTGATATATGTCCCGTGGTATCTCCCCACCACCTTGTGTGTGTGTGTTTGTTTCACTGTGGAAAGGTGTTCTGCATTTGGTCTGAATGATCACAGGATAGAGGAAGAGAGTCTTGATTTACATTTTTTAGGATAAACAAAAATGGCAAAGTTTTAACAGAGAGCTACTGTGGATGAGTGACTGCACTAAACCCATTTTGGAGAAGCTTAACAATGACTGTAAAAGTTCACTGTGTGGATATCCTCAAGGCACAAAGATAAGGGTTATTTATCTGAAGGGAGAATCTTCCCTATAGCATTAGCTGTAGAATTACAAAATGGTGAAGTTGCAGTTTCCCAGGCAGAGGGAACATATTCCAAAGTGGGGTGGGGAAGAGACAAGAGACAACACAATCCCAAGATGGATGGCAGAATGAGGAAGAGATTTAGGATAGTCATTCCCCAGAACCTCCCAGAATATATCCTGTTAGAATAAGAGTAGTGTGTGTTTAATCTAGCAAGATTCTGTCTATATGGTGTGATCAAATAAAGTTGAAGTGCCTAAATGCAAAACCAATATGCTCAAGTGAAGGCTCTTAGCAGATAACAACACACTACGTTAATGTGGAGAGACATAAAACCTGGCCCATCTGCTGGTATGCCGGCTTCTACCAGAAACATGTACCAATAATGACTTATTTTTGGCCAACAACAAAGCCAAGAAGATGGCTTCATTCTAGCAGTTTATAAAGTTTGATATAGACCAGTGATGGCCAACCCTTTCTGGACCAAGTGCCCAAAGCCCAAATCCCCAAAATGCAATATGCACGTACACCCCCCCTGCGCATGCACCCTGCTTCCGCGCACACACACCCCTGTGCATGCGCACACGGCCCCTGCATGTGCCCTGCACATGTGTGACAGACCCGACAACCAGCTGGCCGGTGGGAGGCGCACGCAAAGCACGGCAGACCTGAACTGGGGCAACAGCTCATGTGCCCACAGAGAGGGCACTGTGTGCCACCTGTGGCACGTGTGTCATAGGCTCGCCATCACGGATCTAGACAAAGAAGAACCGAACTTTAGCTGGAAAGGGCCAGAAGGCTAAAATGAGGTGCTTGGAGAAAGTGTGATCATGGGTGCTGTATCCAACATGGAGGGGCAAATATGCTAAATCAAATGGATAAATTCTCAAAACACTTGAATGATGAAACTTCAAAAGACTGTTCTGGTCATTGTAGCTGAAAACAAACTTGAGGAGATTAGTGGGCACTGCACCTAGTTATGTAAAGTAAGGACAAAAGAAAGGATCTCCAAATCTATTATCTCTAGAAGATTCCAAAGGTTCTGAGTAGGTACATAACCTCTTTACATGTGAATCACAAAGATCACACAAGAGAAACACTGCAAATATAGGTAAGAAATGTTAACTAGGTTAGAATAAATTTCTCCTTCTTTTAAGGAATTTTCAACTTTTACTTTTTGTTGATGTTTAATTGTTTTGTTTGCTTTTTTTGTTGGTTTTTTGGCTTGAGCAATCTTTTAGAATATGGAAAATTGTCTTCCCCATCTATGGAAAATCAGTTAAGACACCACAATTGGAGTTAGTTATCTCCAAAATATCTGCTCCTTATTTTAAAAGGTATCGCATTTAGTTTCAACTAGAAAGAAGACTTTAGAAAAGTTTTTGTTTTGTATTTTAAAATGATGTTCAGATAATAAAAAACCCTCTTACCTTAATTATTTCCACCAACTGATCCACACCACTATCTCCTGGGAAAATTGGCTGTCCTAATAATAATTCTGCCAACACACAACCTGCCGACCAAACATCTAGAGAGAGAGAGAAAAATAAAACATAGGGGACCAATTACAAGAATTGTATATCCAATATGGCTTTATCTATATCACAAACATAAGCAAATTTATACACAAGGAAGGTAGTATATATATAAATCAAATATTGTTTTTTACCTTTTAAGTTCATTCTGTTAGAGAAGGAATAAGCAATCTGGAGACCATGGGGCATATAGAGCATTCAGGGCCTTTATATTCCAATATTCTCATTTCTGCAATCAGTGTGTTGCTATTTAGTTAATTTCCAAATGTATGTCCTGCCTTTTCTTTATAAGCTCAGGATAATGGATCTAGAATTTTTTCGCCCACCACCTTTGAGGGAGGCTGGGTTCACAAACAGTGCTGTCTTAAAGTCATCTCATGAGTATTCATAGCTAGATTTCAATATGGTTCTCCCCATTCCTAGTCCAATATCTTATATAACAGAACACAATAATAGAATAACAGAGTTGGAAGGGACCTTGGAGGTCTTCTAGTCCAACACCCTGCACAGGCAGGAAGCGCTATACTATTTCAGACAAATGGTTGTTCAATCTCTCCTTAAGGCTTCCAGTGTTGGAGCATCCACAACGTCTGGAGGCAAGTCATTCCATTAATTGTTCTGTCAGGAAATTTCTCTCCTTAGTTCTAGACTGCTTCTCTCCTTGATTAGTTTCTTGTCCTGCCCTCAGGTGCTTTGGAAAATAAGTTGATCCCCTCTTCTTTATGTCAACCTTTTACATATTGGAAAACTGCTATCATGTCACCCCACTTCTTTTCATTAGATGATACATACCCAATTCCAACAACTGTTCTTTATATGTTTTAGCCTCCAGTCCCCTAATCATTTTTTTTTTTTGCTCTTCTCTGTACTTTCTAGAGTCTCGACATCTTTTTTACAATAGGGATGACCAAAACTGGATGCAGTATTCCAAATGTAATCTTACCATGGCATTATACAGTGGTATTAACACTTCACATGATTTTGATTCTACCCTCTGTTAATGCAGCCTAGGACTGCGTTGGCTTTTTTACTGGCTGTTGGTAAAAATTTATTTCATATTTAATATAGTGTACAAGATCTCTCTCACAATTACTACTATTGAGCCAGGTAGCACCTATACTATACATGTGCATTTGATTTTTGTTGCCTAAATGCAGAAGCTTTTTTCACCATTGAATTTCATTTTGTTAGTTGGGCCCAATGTTCAAGTCTGTCAAGATCCTACTGTATCTTAAGCCTATCTTCTGAGTGTCGGCTATTCCTGTCAGCTTGGTGTCATTTGCAAATTTGATAAATTCCCCATCTATCCTCTCATATAAATCATTGATGAAGATATTGAAGAATACTGGGCCTAGGACAGAGCCTTGGAGTACCCCACTGCATACTTCCTTCCATATATATGTAGTTCCATTGAGGACTACATGTTGAGTGCAGTTGGTCAGCCAATTACAAATCCATCTGGTGGTAATACTATCTAACCCACATTTTTCTATATTATTAAGTAATAGGTTGTGGTCTACTTTACCAAATGCCTTACTAAAGTCCAAGTAAATTATAGCCACAGCATTTCTCTGGTCCATCAATTTTGTCATGCACATCATCTAGCCCACCACTGGGTGTCACACAACTGCTAACTAATTTACAGAGAAATTTACAAGCAGAACACTGCTTTCTCCCTAAAAATTGATTTCAGTGTGTGTCATTTATATTTTACAGAATAAGAACATGAAGATTAATAACTTTTTGCTAACTATATCCTCCACAGATTTGCTCCTCTTTTAAAATGTGGTGGCCATTAATATATTTGGCAGCAGAATGTTGCAAAGTTAAACTAGAAGATTTTCACTGCATAAGCTAACACAGTTCTCTGTGTACAACAGTTTAGCGTGTATTTAAATAAACATTTTTAAGTATTGTGCCTTTTTACTGTCATGGAATCTCCCCATATTTAATTTCAATGAATTGTCAGGAGTTCTAATATTTTGAGATGGAAAAAAACCCATTCAAATACCCTTTTTTCATGCTATACATACTTATAAATTCCTCTCGAATTTAAGAAGGCATAAATCTAGCATTTTCTTGTAGCTTAGCTGCTTCAGCACATCATTCCTATAGTTCTCTCTGCCTTAAAATATAATGGCTAGAATGATATATTCAAGCACAATCACAACACAACTGAGTAATCAGCAATCTTTTCAGGTAGTAGGTATCCTAATGGGAGTTTTTAGGTGTTGAGAAGAAATGAAACAATTTTAAAGTAATCAAAACGTCAAATATTTCATGCAATCTTATCTAAAATGTATCATTCTGGGAGGTCAGTAACATCAAAGAAGTTTTATGTGGCATATTGCTAATCCCCATATGATATCAGCCATGTTCAGAAAGTGAAAAGATAATGAAGAAAAATTAATTCTGGAAACATTTATTTATACCGCCTTTGTTTACAAATAACTGTTTACAAATTATTATTTACAAATAACTTGAGTTATTTGTTTACAAAATAACTCAAGGCAGCCAACTTAAAACCCTGTGAAGGGAGTTGGACTGAGAGAAAGCGACTGGCCCAAAGTCACCCAACTGGATTTCATGGCTTAGATGGGACTAGAATGTATGGTCTCCCACTTTCTACCTGATGCCTTAACAACTATTAGATTGCTTCTTCAATAAGAAGACTTTATGGCTGATGGGCCTTGTGGCAATAGTAAGTATGGGAGCTTTTAGAAGCTTCAGCAAAAGAAGCAGTGACTGCAATAGTGATAATTTAGGAGTGGCTAGATCGGGTGTCAGCAATCCATGGCTCCGGAGCCGCTTGTGGCTCTTTGGGCCCTCTGCTGCGGCTCTCTGTCCCATCACTGGCTGGCTCCTCCCCTCCCTGTCATTCCTCGCCTGGAAGGTAAGGGCAATGGCAGGGGATGGAGAAGCGGCTGGGGCTGATTTTCTGGTGCCTCACTCTTGCTGGAGCTTCTTCCTGCCCTTGTTGGTGCGTGCCTCAGTTGCTTGGGGAAGATGCGCAACCTGCTCTCCGCCCCGAGACACTGGCCCACCCTGGCCGTGATTGACACTGGTCTCACTAACACGAGGGCTGGCAGGGTGGGAATGGAATCCGAGAGGACACGATGACGAAAAGGGGGATGAGCCCGCAGCGCCCAGCCGTGGCTTTAAGAAGCTCAGGGCAGTGGGAAAAGGGGGCTGGCCCAACTGAACCTCGCACACCCACCCTGGGGGTCAGGAAAGCCGAGGCTGGGCCAAGCTGGTGAGCTTTCCTTGGGCTCTTCGCTACTACTTTTCTTTCTTCCTTTTGGAAATCCAAGCTGGCTGAGGAACAAGCGCGAATGCAGCAGAGCTGGCTGTGGCGGGAGGGTGGGGAGACCCCAAGAAAACGGCCAGCCATCCTGCGCACGCCTTTGCTCTGCTTTGGCCGAGCCCGCCTGCTTGCTTGAGGAGGGTCTCCCTGCTCGTGTGCACTCCCATCCCTGCCACAGCAGGAGGGAGAGAGACAGAGAGAGGGGGAGAGCTACAGAGAGAGGGGAAGAGAGGGAGAGGGGGGAGAGAGATACAAAGAAAGGGGGAGAGAGAGAGAGGAGAGAGAGGGGGGAAGATAGAGAGGAAGAGAGATACAGAGAGAGGGAAGGAGGGAGGAGAGGGACATAAGAGACAGAGAAATATAGAGAGAGGGAGGAGAAGAGAGGGAGAAAGAGATATACAGAGGGGAGGAGATAGAGAAGGCAATGCAGAGAGATATACAGAGAGGGGGAGAGAGAGGGAGAGGGGGGAGAGATACACAGAGAGAGAGAGATACAGAGAGGGGGAGATAAGAGATGGAGAGACAGAGAGATACAGGGGGGAGAGGGGGGAGGGGGAGAGGAGGAGGGGGAAGGACAGTGAGAGACAGAGAGAGGGGGAGGGAGGGAGAGAGACACAGAGGGGGCAGAGAGGGGGAGATAAAGAGGGAGGGGAGGGAGAGACAGAGGGGGAGAAAGAGGCATAGAGAGATACAGAGAGAGGGGGAAGAGAGAGGGGAAGATAGAGAGGGGGAGAGAGAGATACAGAGAGGGGGAGAGGGAGAGAGAGATACAGAGGGGAGAGAGGGGAAGATAGAGAGGGAGAAGGGGAGATAAGAGATACAGGGAAAGGGGAGAAGAGAAAGAGAAAGAGTTTTATGGTTCCTGGTTCTCTGCCCTAATGACCGGCTGGGTAGGCATAGCTAGGGGGTCATGTGCGTGAGTGAGTGACGTCGAGTTGGCCACACCAACCCAGGTTTTGTGGCTTCCGGTGGGTTTTTTTCTGTGGGAAACGGGTCCAAAAGGCTCTTTGAGTGTTTAAAGTTGCAGACCCCTGGGCTAGATAAATAGGAAGTGGTGTTAGTCTTCTCTCCTCGGAAATCTTAGTTTCCAACTATTCTCTTCAGCAGAGCCAAGACCCCTGGGAAAAAAAGAAGCTCAGTATGAAGTTCCTTGATAGAAAGTGACCTTTGCATTAACAATTATTAAATTCTAAAGTGTCTTAAGGTAACAAGGGATGGATTTCAAAGAAAAATTATTTTAAATTTTATTTAAAAATGGAAACAAACTTAAGGGATAAATAATTTTAAAATGCATTGTAAATTTAATAAAGCATGGCTTGGGAGGGAATCAATTTTAAATCTGGCTTGCATTATTCATTGCCTGAATCAACTTTGGGAAACAGCAGTATTAAAATTAAGAAAATGACATAGAAGTCATATCCAAACTGCAGGTACTTTATGTTCTTCATGAGTACAATGTACTATTTAAAAACAAACAAACAAACCGCCAGTTGGAATATCTGATAGTACTCATCCACTAATCCAGAAACTGAGATCTTACTGTCCACCATTCTAGAGCCCACACAAATTATTTCAATAAATTTAGTATAAACTCACTGATTTTTAGTAGGGCAACTTTCTATTTATTTTTTAAATAATAATAATTAAAATAAGCCTAGTAAACTTCTAGTCTTAGTAAGTGGTAGCACCTAGCCAAATACGTCTGATCTTGGAAAGATAAGCAGGATCAGGCCTGATTAATACCAGGAATCTGAGGCTGGATTGTAGATCAAGGAGGAAAAATTGCAATGGCAAATTCCATATGGACTGTTACCAAAAAATATATATTGTTATGCCTTTGTTATACTAGGAATCAAATTTTACTCAAGGGACATTTTTAAAACCTTCCAGTTGTCTTAACAAACCTGCTTTATTAAAAACAAGATAAAACTCCAATCCCTTTAAAAATATGAAAATCTATTTCTTCTTGCTCTTCTGCAATTCCTTGGAAGCAAAACAATATTTTTATCAAGACCCTACTGCCCTCAGCCTTTCTGGCATTTGGACATATTTGGTTTGTAACTTATTTAGCTACAAATTCCGGTGGGAACGTTATCTATTAAAAATTATTCCAATGAAAAACACAGACAGTGTATTGGGTTAGGATTTTACCTGGACATTGGATAGAGGAAGAAACTAAATTTTTCCAAGTCTGGGCCTGTTCTGAATTGAGAAGATGGATACTGTCTTAGTATCTACCTTGGCCCAATTAAATCTTCTATTTTGCCTCACTTCAAGATTAGTTAGTAGCATCTTATGAAGCACAGGCAATCTAGTATCACATCTGCCTTGGAAATGGATTGTGATTGGTTGATGATTGCTATTTTCCTTCACACATGCTTGGATGCCGGAAAAGAAGCCCAATCTTATTTCATGTAACATTTAAACAATCTAAAACAGTACAGAGTTTCCTGAATGGTATATAAAGGATATATAAAACCAGGTTCTTTATTTCATAAAACGTACAGGTTATATTTATAGTTCAAGGAGACCAGTTGTGAATCTGCTACATTTCTTTTGGGGATTCTAGAGCATGGATGTCAAACTCGTCGTGTCACGTTACTGTCACGTGATGTTTTGTGACGTTTTTCCCATTCGCAGAGCTGGGGTGAGCGTGGCCTACACGTGACACATCCGGCCCGCCAGTTTGACACCGCTGCTCTAGAGAGTCATGGTGGATCATATAAAAGAGGAAAAAAGGAAATTACCAACTGAATGGATTTCCTTTATTTTATTTCATTCATTAACGAGAAGAAATATGTGTTGTGGCCCACTCTGAGGTTGGGGAGGAACTTGGCCCAGTTCTGAAGTCTGGGGAAGGCTCTGATGGATGCTCTGCATCGGACACAGAGATAGAGCCAGGGCCATCCGACATTTCCCAGCCACCAGAGAGGCAGCTGCCTTTGGAGGCTGATATGAGGAGGAAGAACAGCTGGGGCCTATTCCAGATGCATGTATGCACAGAGCAGTTAGGAGAGCTGAACAACAGAGGACAAGGAGTCGACTTGGCAAGCAAAGCACACATGGACGCTGAATGGGCCCTCCCTGGCTGGGGAATAAATAGAAGGCAAGGGGAGTGGTTGTCATAGGAGACAACAGTTCGTATTTCTGAAGATTTTGCTCACTGGGTTTCATGCCACAAAGACTGCTTGCCAGAACTTAATTTGCAACCTTTTGGCTGGGAACTCACGGCCACTGAAAAGGTCTGTTACTGCAGTTAACTCTTTGAAGGACTATTGCCTGGACTTTTCAGTGGGTGAACACAATTAATTCATAAGAGGTAAATAAAGAGGGTTTTTCGTGACAAGCAGTCTGTTTCTTGCTTCTGCTAAGGCTGGGGCAGAACAATATGTTTATGTAATGCTGCATGTAATCTTTTCTTCTCCATTCCAAAATACTAATCACTTCAGTTTAAAAATGAAAAAATAAATACATACCTATACTAGAAGTATAATCTGTGGCTCCAAAAATTAACTCCGGTGCTCTGTAATATCGAGAGCAGATGTAAGAGACATTAGGCTCTCCACGAACTAGCTGCTTTGCACTGGAAATGAAATTATAATATAAAGCTTAGTATTCAATATACAAAATATATAATTTTCAATAAATTAATATTTAAAGGAGTATATGCAATTCCTCTAAAATTTACGCAAGTATTTAATATAAATATCAAAATGCAAATTTATTCAGCATTAATACCATGTTTCCCCGAAAATAAGACCCAGTCTAATTTTCAGGGGAAGTCTTACCCACTTAGTTTAGGACCACTGCAACCAGGCCTCCCATGCCCCAACCCATCACACTGCTGCCTGACTTCTTTTGCAGCCGTGAGCAGCCAGATGCCATGTGGCAAGTTGTGCCAGTGCCACCGCTCGCGTCAGGAGGCCACACAGCTTGTTGTGTTGTTTCACACACGAGTGGCGGCACTGGTGCAACGTGCCACAAAGCCTCCTGCAACAAGCATCAGCACCAGCACGACCTGCCATGCTGCCTCCTGCCACATACGACGGCACCAGCGCCACACGCTATGTGGAATTCTACCGCAAGCAGTCACACTGGCGTGATGCACCATATAGCGTCCAGCTGCAAGCAACTGCAGAAGAAATTGCAGCAGCGTGGCAGGTTTTGGGATGTGGGAGACCTGGCTGCAGCGGTCCTAAGGTAAGCGGGCATGTGGGGCAGCTCCACCCCCTACCCCCGTTTGATTTTTACGCATGCACCTTGCCCCACCTCGTACAACCAGGCGATGGGACAAGTAGATGGGGTCTTAACCAGGGCTTATTTTTGGGGTAGGGCTTATATTAGGCACACAGGGAAAAATCAAGCTAGGGCTTATTTTCAGGATAGGTCTTATTTTCGGGAAAACATGGTAGATAAACCATTTTATTATTCAATGTTAATGAGTCGGATACTGTAGTTAAGTGAAATTTAGTGCAAACAGGAAAAAGCAAAATGAAATATGTCCGCAGATTAAATCAAAAATTCAGAAATATTTTTTTCAAATCTCCATGGATAATATATAAATTCTTAGTAAAAAACCTAACTCTTCAAATATTACTAGGACAAATCTATCAGTTTTCCAGGAAATATTTTTAATTGATCCCAAAGGATCAGAAATATTTATTTAAAAAAATAAATATATTTTAAAAGGTAAAGAGTAAATATAAAGACCCTGAAGATTTATACACTGAATAATCCAATTTAAGTTCTTACATTAAATCAACGAACAATATGAACAAAAATATTACCCTAAAGGAAAACAAGGATATATTTCATATTTATAATACATTTTAAAATGCATGGGTTTTTTTTTTTTGAAGTGTTAAGGTTTTTTTAAGAGAAATAATATATTTAACATGCACAAAATCCCCCACATTCTTGATTCCTAGAAACCAATTTAGCTTCTGATTATTTCTAAACCATGCAAGGCAGTGGTGGGTTTCAAATTTTTTTTCTACCAGTTCTGTGGGCGTGGCTTGGTGGTCATGTGACTGTGGGTGTGGCTTGGTGGTCATGTGACTAGGTGGGTGTGGCCAACTTTATGTCACTCACGTCAAGAGTTAGGGTGCCTGGCCTCTCCTCACCTCAAAGGCCTCAACGAGATACAATTTCCCTGTCTATTTATTTACTGAACATCCAAAATATACTATTTAATCCTATGTATATATGCCATATGTGGCATTTACATAGCAACGGTGGCTGAGGAACTCTGGGAGTTGAAGTCCACAAGTCTTAAAGTTGCCAAGGTTGGAGACCCCTGGCCTAGGAAAACAATCCATGTCGCTAAAAAAAAAAAACTATGTCGCATCTGTTTTAGGGGAGGTTCAATTCATCGCCCAATTAAAGACTGAAATGACATGCTCCAGGCTGACAGCATTGCTTCAAATGACATTTGGCTCCAGATCAGATGTTGAAGTGACCATCCCCAGTGCTGGATGCTGGGTACACCTCTTATTTTTGTCGGACCACTACCTCTTTGGGGCAAGGGTTGCTTTTTACAGCATGGCGAGAAACAAACAGCGCCTCTCACTTTGGCTGCTCCTGCTGCTGCTGCCCTTACCCCGTAAAGATCCAATAAGGCCTCACTGAAACACCACGTCCGCTCAGGGATGGTTTCTCCTTCCCCTCCCCAGTACTATGCTAAGCGGTGGCTCATTCCTGTCCCACCGTGCCAGCGTCACGCGAAGCAAATTAAAGGCAGCCCGCCTCTCTCCCCCATGTCGCTTCTCAGCCTGAGCAGCAAAGCACCCCCCACCCCGGATCTCTGGTCTCTGCAGCCCTCCACAGCCCTTTGAGTCACTTGATCCAGCCAACAGCCCCTCTGACCACCACTGTGTCCCCCTGGAATTTCACCCGAGAGCCAAGCAGCGGAGAAGGCAATCCCATTTCCCACTGGAGGGGCGAAAGGAAGCCTCTCGAGGAAGAGGCTCTTGAGCCTCTGAAGCCTCTCGAGGGAGACATCTGCTGCTGCCACCGCCTCTGCTTCTTCCTTCTCTCTGCTGACAGAAGTCAGAGAGTTAAGAGCAGTTGCTTCGCCGGGTGTTTCTCCATGTTTCTATCACGAGTCAGCTGCAGCTGCCACTTCCCATCTGCTGTTGGGAAGGCGATGCTTGTGGCAGATGGGAGGTGGCAGCTGCGGCTGACTTGGGATGGAAACATGGAGAAATGCCCAGTGAAACAACTGACCTTTCCTCTCCGACTTCTGTTAGCAGAGAGAAGAGAGAGGTAGAGGCAGCGGTGGCAGCAGCAGAAGAAAAGGGGCCGATTGCTTCGCAGCCAGCATGGTTACCCGGGCTCCCTTTGACTGGCTTGTCTCACAGCGCTGCCACACACACACGCACAAGGATATCTCCTTCGAGAGGCTTCAGAGGCCAAGCCTTTTTTTTTTCTTTTCCCCCTCCTGCCACCGCCTCAAGGGCTTTGCAGCACGTAGGCCTCTTCCTCCATAGGCCACAAGGATGGGAGCAGCTGCCTCCCGAGGTTTGGGGAGGGAAGCGAGGCACGTTAAAGAAAGGTAAAAGGGAATGGGGGTGGCAAGCTGGCCACAGGGACACTGGGAAGGCCGCATGGAAGGCAGGCAAGCATCGCGGGGCCGCAGGGAAGGGAGTAGGCTGCTAGCTCCCTTCCCCACAGCTGGGCAGCTCTGCCATGCTTGCCTGCCTTCCACCCGGCCTTCCTGGTGGTCCCAGTGGCCAGGCTCGCTTGCCTTCCTTCGCAAGCTGGCCACAGGGACACCAGGAAGGCCGCGTGGAAGGCAGGCAAGCATGTCAAGGTCACCTGGCTGCGGGCCAAGGGGAAGGGAGTAGGGAAGGTTTTTGCAACTGGGCATGGGAATGGGGACCACCGGGAAGGCCGTGTGGAAGGCAGGGAACCATGGCAGGGCTATGGGCCATGGGGAAGGGAGTAGGGGAGGCAGGCTGTGATGGTAGGGGGGGCCGGGGCAGCTAGATAGGCCGCGACTTGCAGGCTTACCCGGAAGGCAGATCAGGGCTGCTCAGTTGGGGCGCAGTGCTTCAGGCAAGCTAGCTGCAAGCGAGATCTACACAGTAGAAATAAGGAGTGACTGGGTGGAGCGGGGCGAGTGAGCGTCAGGCAGCCAGTGTGAGGGAGCGGCAACCAGGGAACAGGTTCGGGGGCGTGGCCAGCCAGCGGTCACTACCAGTTCGGCCGAATTACTGCTATCGGTTCGCATGAACCGGTGCGAACCTGTAGAAACCCACCACTGATTCAAGGGTGCCAAAAGATGTAGCTAGATATAATTACTTTAAAAATTAAGATTCTTAATAAATATCCACTGCATTACTGTTAAGTAGGATAAACATCTTTAAATAATTGTATATTTCCTGTCCAATTCAGTTAGAATACTACTACACACAAAATATTCCAGAATTCCACCAACTGCCTTATCTTTGGACACTTTAAAGCATTTCACAATGGCATATAAATGTTGTTTAATCTGTTATTGGAAATAGAATTTAAGGACTTCTGGCGGTGACATAGGGCTGTGGCGGCACAGGAGAGAAGCGCTCTCTCTCTGTTGCCAGTTTTCTGAGCTTTTGGTGCCTTATTCGGCGAAGACCGATCTTGGAGAGATCGGGAATAGAGAGGGGAAACTTCGGGGGAGGCGAGGAGAGGTGCGATCTCCCGCCGTACCGAGAAGATCCCTCAATCCAGGCTCGGGAAGAAGCTAGCTGACGAGCGCAGCTGGCCCGGAGGCCCGACAAGCCGATTGAGACCAGCGGGGAAGCGGAGGAGTGAGTACAGTGCAAAACTGCCGAGGGTGAGCAAGCGAGGATCGTTATCTTGGAGTATTTTGGAGCATTTTGGCGCAAAACCGAGGAGGAAATAATTTTCCGGAGGAGCAGCACGGAAGAGAAGATCTCAGAGCGTAAAGGGGCGGCAACTGAGGAGGCGAGCAGAAAGGAAGAGGACGAGACAGAGACAAGCGGAGAAAGACTTTAAACAGTGAAGACGAAGGTGAGGAGAGGTGGATTTGAAGTGCAGAGATTTAAAGAATTAAAGAAAACGAACATTTCTTGTATCCTCCCTTTTTTGGCTGCTCTAACGGAAGGAGAGAGGTATTTTGGCAAAGAATAAATTGTGGACTGTGACTGCAGATTGGAGATCGCCATACTGAAACAGGAAAGACCTCTCTTTTGTTGAAATTATGACGAAAAAGACTTACAAAAGTCATAGAAATTGAATAGAAAATTGAAATATATTACTCCTATATAATCCTCTTTTTTAAAAAAAAAACATAGATAATTGCTATTGTCATTGATATTTATCGGAATTAAGAATCATAGTGATATTTGTGTTCATTAATAAATAAATTAGTATATAGTATATAATAGTACTAATTGAATTAATTGATTTGTAAAGCCTGTGATTATCTATTTTTATATATCTATATTTATATCTATTTATATTTATATTAGCTATTTAGATTAATTTATATTAATATATTGTAATATCTATATTATACCCCAGCTTATATTTTTACTGCATTTTTTACAAAGTATTTTATAAGAGACAATAAATAAG